GGTCATGTGGAGAAAGCAAGGAATATCTGGGGGTAATTTGGGGCTAGTTGGAGGTTGGCCGCCGCCGTGGGCGAATTCCGGCGATGGCGTGTGGCGGAGGGTGAGAGAAGGGAAAGGGGGATAATCTGAGAATGATTTTGGGGTAGGGGTGGTCGTTTTGGACAATTATAAGGGGAACACAAGATTAGTTCTCAGTCATTGGATCAAGTGAGATGAAGGGTTAGGATTAATCCGAGACAAAACGTGGTTGTTTGGTATTGGGGAAAGTCTAGACCATGTGGGTTAATGGACTGGGCGGTTATTAAGAGAAAACTGGGGCTCTGCATATGTTTGGCCCAATTACAATAGGGAACAAGCGGCCCCTTTCTCTTTTTTCTTGTTATTGGGTTTTCAAAGTTGGCCAATTAGCTAAACATTCTAATTTATACCTAATTTGCAAAATTAAACAACTTATCTATTTTGACTAACAATTGACTAATTAAATGCATGAATTATTAAATTGAACTAATTGATTAATCGAAATAACTAATATTATATATATATATATATATATATATATATATTTGATGTTGTGTTTTAATAAAAAAAATGCAACTATATACCGTTAAAAGCTAATGCTGCAATTAAAGTCTAAAAATGCTACGGAAGGTAAAATAATTTGGATGATTTTTATGATTTAAAACTATTCCTAGTGATGCAAAATTGCAATATTAATCTATTGATGCAAAATAAACAAACAAAAATTCCTAAAATTCTACAAAATAATTAAAACTATTTCAGAATATTTTGAGGAGTAATCTATGCAGAGGGCAAATTACGTGCTTACAGTTATCACTTAATTACATTAGCATATACAATTTACCATTTATATACAAAATAATATAATATACTCCAATCTTACTCATTTTTCTTCCCTCTTCTTCTTCCCTTCGCGAAGTGAGAAACGGCAGGAAGGTTTGGGATGAGTTTAAGCTATCCACGAGTAATTGAGGATTATAGCATATGTTGGAATGGTGTGGATTTCATGATTTATTATCTCATAGAAATCAGCAATAGCAGCAGACGCAAAGGAAAAGCAATTGAACGAGGAAATCTGAATCCCAGTTTAATGGATGATAGTCTATTGTATATTTAGTACAATATATGAGTTTAAACTCCATTAACATTTATTAAAAAGTGTTAGAAGCATTTAATTCAAAAATTGATTTTGATGAATAGTTATTTATATGGATTGAGTGTTGTTGCAAATGATTGAGGATATCCTTTGAAGTTATATTTCAATTTTGAGCGATTTTGGTGAAGATTCGAGTTGATTTTAGTTGAAATTTCAGATTAAAACTCGAGGAAGAACACATAAACAAATTGTATATATTTTGTATGTCGGGTTTACAAACTGCAAACAAAATATATACAACTAATATAATTGTAACAAGTTGTATGTAAATTGTAGTTTTTAAACGGATTCTTTACCAAAAACAATTATATTTAAGTTGTAGGAAAATTATAGATTTTGACCGAATTAGTATATATTTTGTAAAAAAAACTTTAGTTACTTTTTGTNCGGAAGAGGTATCACGTTCGCGAATGGTAAAAGTTGGTCAACGTAAATTTGTGCTAAGATATATATATATATATATGATAATAGTCGCAATCCAACAAAAAATTATGCTGGAGGGATCTTTTTAAATCACCGTTTATATTTTGACTCTATTAAGAAAAAAAATTGGGAAAATAGCCTGGTGCCAAAATTTTGAAGCACCAAATTTTTTGACAATTACTAGAATTTTGAAGCACTAGAAATTGTGACGATTATCAGAAATGCTGAAACTTTTGATGATCCGTTAGTATTTATTCGTTAAGGTGATCACCCTAATTTAACTAGAAATTATGACGATCGTCAGGAGCGTGCTTTAAAATTGACACCAAACTATATTTTTCAAATCTTCTATTACCGAGATAAAAAAATCAATAGTAGCACAAAAATATTCTATTCGCCCCAAATTAGTCCGATGTAATGACTAACAATTAGTCTTATGTGTCACTTTCTGTATTTTAATGATGACATTTCCTTCCATCTTAAAACAGAAATTCCTGTAACAAGGCATAGTTCTTATTTTAAACAAAAAACTATGGGATCGCCAAGTACATAAAGCTATTATTTTCCATTTTTCAAGCAATTGCCAGGAAGCATAATCCTAATGATGACAATCCCATAGTTCCCAAGCAGTTCTGGTACTATAAAAACCAGAAAGAATAATGTTACTAAGGCAGAAGAGTAATTTGACAATATTCTTGAAACAAGAAAGCCATGGCACAAGTTGGACCCTGCATTGCTGAAATTCATGTGATGCAGAAACTTCATGAGGAGAAAATGAAGAGAAGAATGAGGTTGTTGACGAAGATAACAAGACTTGTATGTTATTCTTGGGTAAGGGAAGAAATTCAGTTATGCTACTAGGGAAGTGCTTAGTTGTGCAGGGAGCAAATCAACAACAATATATATATGTAATGATTGCTTTACTTCGACTTCATTAGCACAAGTATAATGATTTTGTCCTAGAGTTTGATCGTACAAATGATTCTTTAAATTTGGAATTTGGGAAAAGAAATTCCAACGTGATAGTGATCCTTTTGTCCACTTTTCTTATTATAGCATTAATCAATTTCCAAGACAAACTCAGAGGAATAAAGTGTGGAATTAGTGAAATAATTTCTATTAATTTGCTGCAGCCAGGGCCGGCCCAAAATCTTTAAATAATATTAAATTATGCACTATTCATAGAATTTTTAAATCATTTGATTAAATATTTATAGCTAAAAGCAGAGGTGTACCTAGGTCGTGTTGTTTCGTATTTTCTAATTATCAAACCAAACCAATTATATCGAGTTATTAAATCTAAAGACCAAACCAAACCAATAAAAATCGAGTTTTTCAATATTGATTTTTCTCGGGTTTTTTGGGGTTTTTTTTTTTGGGAAAATACATAAGTATCCCTCTGATCTATACCCGGATTTCCAACTACACATTTTTTCTTTGCGGGAATCCTATTACCCCCCTAAACTTATTTTTAATGGAATTATTTACACTCTTAACGTTGACGTGGCAGAGTGTGTGTATTTCAAAATACGATTTTCAGATTATTTTTTATTCTTTTTACCATTTTTTCTTACTTTTTTTCCTTTTTCTTTGTCTTTTTTCTTTTACTTTTCTTTTCGTTTCTTCTCTAATTCTGGTCGATATTCATAAAGTCTTCATAGCACAAAATATAGAATTTGTGCTCCAAATATTTCTTTAATCCTAGTAAGATAGAACTATATAAGGTATTTTTCAATAAAATAACATAAATATGAGATGAGTCATGACATTGTACTAAAATATTCAACAATAAAGATAATAAAATCGCATAAAATAAGTATTATTAATAAGTCATGATGAAAACAAACATAATTTAAAATTACTAATAAGTTGCTATAAAAAGTACGACTAATAAGTACTATTATTTACATGACTAAACACTAAAAGAAAAATAAGTTATGCATTTTATCTAAACCACGGAAAAACTAAAAATAAATATGCAACGCTATATTCATTCATAGTGCAATTGAATTGAATGTCTTTTATTAGTATTAGTATTAATTTAGGATTTATTTGAGTTACTAGCATTTATGAACTATAAAACTTATTGAATCATCCAAAAATTATTAGTCCAAACTTGAAATAATACGTGAAAAGATAAAATTACGCAAGAGCTTGAGAAATATTTATAAACTACACTACAATAAATATTTTATGTATTAAATATATTTAAAACGTCTATACATATAATGTCGGGTTGGTTTGGTTTCGGTTTTGACTGTTTTTAGTTAAAACCAAACCAAATATGGTCGGATTTTTTTTTCCAACACCAAACCATAGTCGGATTTTTTTTGTCGGTTTAACTTGGATTATCGGATTGGTGTGGTTTGTCGGTTTCATTTGTACACCCCTAGCTAAAAGTTTTACACATCTTAAATTGTAATTACTAGTTGTTTCATATCTTTAGTTCGTCCTAACTTAAATCGATCTTCTTACAACAATGTAAGTTTAGAACAACTTTTCCTAATTCTCTGAGTGCCTTTGTAGACATTTTTCAAGCTACAATGATAAGTAGCTATTAAAATCCGTCCTTAACATTGAATGAATCTTGAAACATAATAGTACTACATTATTATTTGTTTCAACTTATATTTAGAATTAAAAGTGCTAAGAAAAACTGTATAAGTAGAAGAATACTCTAATTGGCAAACCTAATCAGGTAAAAAGGGTTAATTCAATCACCGTTAACAATTTCTATATCAGTTGTCTCGGTTGAAAAAGTTTTATAAATAAAGTTCAACATGATAACACAAGAGAGATTAAACAAATTGGTTAGACATTGACAATAATTAAAACTGATTATAACTTCTTTAGATTTCGATAAATTATAAGACTAAAAAATAATTAAAAAAAATTTAAGGCCTCACTTTTTATTTTCGCCTCGAGCCCCATACTATGTAGAGTTGCCCCTGCAGTGCCAACTTCATTTTACATGCCATGCCAATTCGGGGATATAAACAAACTAAATGTTAGAGAAATGGAATAAAGTTATAGTCATAATAATGGATTGCGCATTTGTTTATGAAATCTGTAATTTGCATAGTTGTGGTATTCTTATGCCAACTGTTTTCTACCTTGTCACTTGACGAGATGGAAGTAACATCACTGAGCAAGGCAAGACAAAGGCATTCCCTGCGGCGACTTCTAATCCAATGACTAGCAATAGACAGAAGAAATGTTACTATGTCTTACCTCTTTTCGCCCCGTAACTTGACTTCCTCTTTTTTCTACCTGCACGGACGCCTCCACCTATGTCGATTCCAGGTACAGGTACCCTCTTGCTGAGTCTAAGTCATGGCATCAACTGACTCCTATATTTGCTGAAGTGAAATAAATGCACCACACAAACATACATAGACACAGAGAGACAAAGAGAGAACACATGTTTCACATGTCAATTGTTGTAAGAATAAGGGCAAGCTTGTTTCTTAAGACTTCAGTGTGAGAAGGAAATTCATATCCAACATAGGAGATATAACTGAAACAATTTATACTGATGTGCTCGACTTGATGCATCACTAAGGCAAAGTGCAGCCAGATTTCTGAGTACATTTGATCTGTGAACCGTTCCTTTGCGAAACTTGGAAATCCTTTATGATAACACCATAAAATCCCAAACTAAATGAAATAAAACAAAACAAAACAAAACTATAATCTGTTTTATAGATTTTCTATTGCTTATGTTTCTTCTTCTCTTTCCCCGAGTCCCTCTTCTTTAGTACTCCACCACCACTACCACCGCTTGAAACATCTTTAAAAACGAACAATTACATTCTTTACACAAAGGTCCTAAAAGTAGTGCATCAACTTCGTATATCAAGAGACTACATGGTATCCCTCCATTCTAAATCTTTTTATATCTTTTTCTTTTTCACTTTTACTTTTAGGATACTTGTTAATGCATCCAAAAGACTCGCCTACTGAAAAATATATAGAGCCACGAAATATATATAACCAAAGTGGAACAATTCCATTACTGGGTCAGGTGAATTACAAGATTGTACATGCACACCCTCCTTTTGTAGGAGAATCCTCCTTCAGCTTATCTGTGACAAATGTATAAAGAAAATTCATTCAGTAGGCTTTAAATTTTAATAAGAAAAAAATAATGAATGGAAGCTCAAATCCTTAAATCATACTATAAAAATAAGTATAGCTTTTCTTTTTCCTCTCTCTACCTGTCAAAAAAAAAATGACCAGGCAAGACTGGCTATGCCACTCCAAACACACTGAAGTTTTTCAAAAGGAAAGCTTCACAGATGCGTGAATATGGAACTGACCCCTGATTGGCAATGGTAATTGGAAAGCACTAAACGCTAAGCTGAATGAATACACATACTTTTTCTTCGAACTGACTTTGCCAGGCCAAATCCTATGAAGTATTTCATAAGGAACAAGCTTCACGGACGCTTAAATATGGAACTTACCGGATGGTAAATGGAAAGCACTAACCATTAAGCTGTTCCAATAATGTCCTATCCAATCATATATAGTGTTAACTGACCTCAAATAAGACACTTTTCTGATTTCTCTGAATAATCGGAAAAGGAAAGGAAAAGGATCCCCTGTACCTAGGAGCACAGTAGAGGATGGGTGTGCGAGGTAGTAAGTTTGGAGAAAGTGCCAAAAGAATAAAACTGGAGTTGTCATCTAGCAGTTAGACAAGCTAAAGAATTTCACTACTTCCTAACAAATTGGTATCTTCTACAGTGCAAAACATTGGAAAGAACAATAAAACAGATTGATCAAAATTGGACACTGACTCGAATATCATCAAAACAAAAATAACAGAAAGAGATATTTCAGAGCTATTCGTCTAATAGGTTTTTACTTACCCCTCCTATTTCATATTTTATTACAAGACACCTATAGATTTTTACAAGGTAATGTAAAAAAATAGGAGGAACCTAAGAAGTTACACTAACTGATCTTTAATCACGAATGAAAACCAGTGACATGCTATTTCTGCTGCAGTTATGAACTATTAATACTTGTTCTTTTGAGTTATCAACACAAGAAAGAAAAATGCTTTCCACCTGTGAACCGGAATTCTTTTAACTCTCATATAATCCAAATATCACATTGCGCATGTAATTTACACTGAACCGTGACCTAATTGCTTGAATTACAAAATATTGCAACTTACCATTGTTTTTGTCATGAATGGGAGGCCGTACAACAACATGCATAGTGATGACACCTCCTGGAACTTCAGCAACGGGAAGTCTGGATTCACCGAGAGTTCTACTATTTTCAAGAATCCTTCCAGCATTAATAAGCTTCACGTCATTTGTTGTCCTTGGACCACTATCTTTATCTGCGCCACAGTAAGATCTTCTGTTAGCTGGGTTATTGCTGGTTAAAAGAGTATCTAAATTATGAGCAGCAAATGTAGGGTTGCAGATTCAGGCGTCTTGGTATATAAAACATATGAGAGAGCACTGAAAATTTCAGTCTCAAATTAACCTTTTCATTCCTGTAAGTAGTGGGAATCATACATTCTCTTTGGCTTTAGAGCATCGAAACAAATAATAGGTGGATGTGGCTTAATTCTAATCCATTTTAGATTATTGACTGACAACAAATGCAGATTATATACAAGAAGATTTTGTAAATGCAAATACACATTCATAGTTCTAGAACTAATATTTTGTCATATGTAATATTAGTCCTTCAAGTTGGTTAAGCTCATTTGCTTCGCAAGTGTCTTCGTATTTAGGTTTTTAAGTGTCGCATGCTCTTTGATTGGCGGGCAGCTTATGTTATTTCAGGCCTGCGGCAATTCCTTGCTGACCCCTGTTCTAGAGCCTGTGTGAAAGCACACAGAAATATGATATCGTCCAAATTTAACAAGCTCAAGTTTCCATTTGCTCATACACTGATCCATACCTTTGAATCCAGAAATGATTTAGAGTATTTAGGTCGCTTTACCTTTTGAAGTTTTGTAGTGTCTCTTCAATATTCAGTAGTATTATATACATTGGTTGCTCCAGCACTGCTTTGTGAGCTTGTTAACATTCAGTCCCAAACTCGAACAAAAGAAAATGATTGCGGTAGTTGAGCAATGGAATCAAGTGGGTCAAATGGAGCGAAATGGATAGTGCATACTTGGAATTGCAGCATAGTTATTGTTGTTGTTGTTTCCAATCTGTTGCATCACTCTCTCACAATGTAGGCAGCTTCTAAAGCAGCACTACTCTCTTCATATCAGCCATATCAATCCCATAACACCCTCTCATTAGCTATTTCATTTCAAACCTAAACAATCTACTTCGTTAAGTTAAAACGTCACCGTATTTTAGTCTTTGGTCCTCATGCTTATAAGATCCAAAGCCAAATCTGGCATTAAAGCAGGTAAGCACCATGTCAACACGTGTGAAAGCTTATGTGATGAGCAAACAAATTATCAAAGGGATAAATTTCTGTCGCAGTTACTCAACAAGTTTAGAATTTACATATTAGTGAATTGAGTTGCAAAACTCACAGCAGTCTACTAATTCAACGGTAAATGGAAAAAAGAAGAAATAGAGGCTGGGAAAAGATACTAAGAGCTGAAGAAATCAACTAATTCAACTCAGATAAGAGGCGTCACAGAGAAATAAAATTAAGTACCCGTACTGTGCAATTTTAGTTGCAACACTCATAGCAGTCAGCTAATTTAACAGTGAACTAAAAAGGAGAAACATAGGCTGGAAAAGGTAATCAACAGCTGGAGAAACCAACTATCCAACTCAGAATAAGTACTCCAGTTTAGTTGCAACAACTTTAGTTGCAAGAATCACAGCAGTTAACTAATTTAGCAGTGAACAAAAAGGGCGGAATAGAGTGGGAGAAGATACTCAACAGCTGGAAAAATCAATTAATATGAAATACTTTCTGATTGAGGGTCGACCACGGATAAATATTTTATCCGTTTGACAAGTCCAATGAGAGAAGGATTCGATATGCTAATCTTAAGCTAACTAGACTTGGAAAGAACTTGTGAAATCTATAGATAAGGAATGTATATTTCATGCTAATTGAAGATTTTCGATTTCAGTTATTCAAATGGGGATGCAGTTGTAAAACCCAAGGAGTCCCCTGGTAAATCACTAAAACTCCCATTTCCCCTTTTGTCTTCCTTAATCTCCTCTATTTACCTATTTCTAGCAGTTTACTATCAGAGTTGCTCGCGTCCTATTTCTTTCCCACACAAATATTCGCATCAAACATTCATTTTGCAATAAAGCTTGAGATCTCATTGATTCAGAAGCTATCCTCCATCAGCAATGTGACGACCCAGCCAGTCGTCTCATGAGTTACCGCTTCATTTTCCCCATTTCTACTTCTTTATGATTTGTTTATCCGTGTTATATGGTATCGGGTCGGTCGGATCGAGTTCGGAAAGGATTTGGTAAGGTTTGAGACACTTAGTCTCTTTAGAGTGAGTTTAAGTTGGAAAAGTCAACCGGATGTTGACTTATGTGTTAGAGAGCTCGGATGTGAGTTTCGATGGTTCGGTTAGCTTCGGGAGGTGATTTGGGACTTAGGAGCGTGATCGGAATGAGTTTTGGAGGTTCGGAGTAGAATTAGGCTTGAAGTGGCGAAATCGGATTTTTGGCGATTTGCGGTTAATAAGTGAGATTTTGATATAGGGGTCGGAATGCAATTCTGAGAGTTGTAGTAGTTCCGTTGTGTCATTTGGGACGTGTGTGCAAAATTTCAGGTCATTCGGACGTGGTTTGGTCGGGTTTTTGATCAAAAGCGGAATTTAGAAGTTTTTGGAAACTTAGGCTTGAATCCGATGTGTTTTGGTCGATTTGATGTTGTTTGAGGTGTTTTGAAGATTGGTACAAGTTTGAATAAGGTTTTGGGATATGTTGGTGCCTTTGGTTGAGGTCCCGGGGGCCTCGGATGAGTTTCGGAGGGTTGAACGGATCATTTTGAGTTGAAGAAATTGCAGATTTTGGTTTCAGCTGTTGGAGGTGTTTTACTCTTCGCGTTCGCGAGTGGCCCCTCGCGTTTGCCAAAAGTCAGATGAGGAAGCTGGAAATTTAGCCTTCGCGTTTGCGAGGGAGGCTCCGCGTTCGCGAAGGGCTGGGCAGCTGTGCATCGCGTTCGCGGGGGTGTTGTCGCGTTCGCATAGAAGGAATGGGCAGCTGAGCTTCAGGGGGGAATTGGTTCATCGATAGCGAAGGTTGGTTTGAGCAAAGCATCGCATTCGCGATGGGGAGGTCGCGATCGCGAAAGAGGAAAATTGATCAAAGTTAATTTGTGTTTCGCGAACGCGAGGCTTTGACCGCAGGATTTCAGGCCTGGGCAGAAGGTTTAAAAGGTCGTCTTGTCCGCGAATGTGGGGTTTATTTCTTCCATTGTTGGTCATTTTTGGAGCTATTTGAAGGAGATTGAAGAGGGATTCAAGGGGAATCACTTGGAGGTAAGAATTTTGGATTTAAAACTCGATTCTATTGTGAAATCTACCTAATAAATCATAGAATCTAATCCTAAAATTGAGGAATTAGGACTTGAGATTAAGAGACATTAAAATGAGAATTTGAGAGGTCATTTGGACTTCGATTTCAGTGTTCTTGGTATGTATGGACTCGTGGGAGGATAAGGATTCCGTTGATGTGATTTTATCGAGTTTCGAGGCATGGACCCGGGGGTCGGGTTTGGCCAATTTCGGGATTTTTGGTATAATTTGATTATTTTCGTTTGGGCTTCGTTCCCTTAGCATATTTTGACGTCGTGATTCTGATTTTTGGATAGATTCGGCACGAGTGGAGGCCGATTCGAGGTGCAAAGGCGTCGCGGAGTAGTATTTTCACCGGTTTGTGATAAGTAACCATTGTAAATCTGGAATTGAGGGTACAAACCCCGGTATTTAACTTGTTTTGATAA